TTTCTAGGGCTAATAAAGTACTGGAATTCTTGCCACCCTGCTGGAGCTCTCAGTGACCCCACCACCCCACCGGAGCTCATGGAGATCCTGCCAGCTGCGGGCTCCACTGTCCCGGAGCTATGTACTCTCCCTTCCCCTGCCACTGGCTTCCCTGCCCCATCAGCTGCATATTCTGGTGCCCCTCAAGATCCACTGTCCTGCCAGCCCTGCTGCTGCTAGGGCTCTCTAGTCCTCCAACATCTGTGATCCTGATATTGCTGGACCAGAGAGTCTCGGACCACAGAGGTTCAACCTGTAATTCAGCCCCCCAACCCTGTGGTGTAGTATGATTGAAGATAATCATTTATATTATTGTTGTTACTAGGGTTACACAGTTGCAGCAAATCTTATATAAAGTATGTCATGTAAGATATCAATGGAAAAGCTGTAAGCTACTAAATATATTAATCCTGCTTATATCCATGTTCATCTTTGTATGTGAAGTAATGAATAGTTGCTGTAGTTTTGTACGCAAATGTGCTTTGTTCCTGGGTGACCCACCCACAAGGTAGTTTTCTTACATCCCATGCAGCCAGCCCCATATTGATGAACCATTCAATTGTGGATGGACCATTCAGAGAGATCAGCTTTTCAATGAGGCTTCCTGCAGCTGCCCCCTGCAGCAAAGGGGTGTGAACAAACATTTTCAACAATGAAATACGTGAAGAACAATTTGAGAACAAACTTGTCCGATGATAATCTCAGGTCACTGTTGACGTTAGGGACAAGAAATCTAAAGCCAGAAATGTCTGCTATTTTGGCATCCGGGAAACAATTTCACCATTCACACTAATAGAGGTGTTCATGTGTAGTGTATCAATGTGTTATTAAATAATAACTGAATAAAATAATATTAAATAAATAATTAAAAACAACATCCATGTTTTGATTGTTTTTTATTTGGACCTCAAGTGTGTAGTTGGCCCCCGAACTGCTGTTTGATAGTTAATGCAGCCCTCGGGCTGAAAAGTTTGGAGACCCCTGGAATAGAGGATGGTGCAGAGTCGTCCTAGGATTGACAGCTATTATAATTCGTAACATTCCTAAGCACAGAAGGGCCAAGCACTCAAATGACTTGTGTACTTACATATCCAGTATTCTTCTGAACCATTGATACCACTGCGAGCTTCGCAAATAAATCTTGATTCCATTTACTTAGAGCAAGACTGAAAAAACATTTGGTGAGATTTTAAAAAACAAAACAAAAAACAGGTGTTCTCAGCAGTTCAATGAGATATATTTGAATTTTTAACAGCTCAATACTAATAATGCCTGACTTCCTGAGATAAGAGCAACTGTTCCTTCACAAGGCAGAGATAAGACAGCTAAATGTTTCCATGCCTCAGGGTATGTCTGAACAGCAGTATTATTTCGGAATAACCGATGTTATTCCAAAATAACATAGTCCACGTTTACATTACAAGCAGTTATTTCGACAATGTTGAAATAACGTCAAGCTGGAGGACTTCTTACTCTGACTCCCGTAACCCTCATTTTACAAGAAGTAAGAGAAGTTGGAAGAGTGCTCTTTCTTGGACTTCCTCTTGCATAGACAGCATCAAAAGCTGAAATAAGCTGTTTTGACTTAAGCTATGCAATTGAAGTAGCTCAAATTGCGTAGTTTATTTCGGCGTTAGCCCTGCTGTGTAGATGTGCCCTTAGAAACTTAAATGTCAGAGGCTTCCTTTTCCCAATTGTGCACCATAAGGTAACTATGGATCACTAATTTTAGCACCTGTTAACTATAAATCAAGATGTTGGAAAGTAATATTATAGTTTTATAAAACATATGGTATTTTAGTGAACTGTGAGGACAAGCCAATAAAACATTTCTATCAGTACTTCCAAAAGCAGGGGAAATTTTAGAAGATTCAGTTTCACTGTGTTTTCTACATTAAAGTTACATTTCAGTAGGAATGAGTGGTTATTCAAAGAAAGTACAAAACAAAAATGTAAAGGGACGTACTACACTAAGGTTTTCAGAAAAAAACGTGCATGATTTGAAGGATGTATAAATCAAAATGGGCTGAACCAGACAAATACAGACTATATAGCCAATATAATAGGTGAATATTTGTAAAATGGAATTGCTACAAATTATCTTCTATTGGAGGCCTTTCGATATTCACAGCTGTACAGACTAGCAAACTAGTAATTGTGAGAACTCTCTCAACCTTGGTAGAAATGTTCTGATATAGGGCTACATCTGCACTGCAGCGCTATTTCAGGATACCAGAAGTATCCAGAAATAGCTCCATGCCTTTTGAGTGCACATTATTTTGAAATATAATGGTCTTGCTATTCTAACATGCCTTTTGAGTGCACGTTATTTTGAAATATAATGGTCTTGCTATTCTAACATCTCTGTAAACCTCATTCCACGAGGAGTAAAAAGACGTTTCGGAATTGCAATTTATTTCTAAATAAGTGCTGTGTAGGCAGCACCAAATTTCAAAATAAGCTATTTTGAAATTAACTCAAAATAAGCTACACACAATTTGCACAGTTTAAATTGTGTAACTTATTTCGAGCTATTGGTGCAGTGTAGACACACCGTACGTGAGCACAATCTGATGTACACTGGAAAATCATTTCCTTAAGCGAAGCTCCTGTAATATCAAACAGTGCTTTAGTCTAAGCTGTGAATGTCCACAAATCACAAATGCTATGTTTTATATAAATTGGATTAAATAACCTTAATTATATAAGGAGTGTCTTCTACTTCTTGTTTAGCTGAAATTAATAAGAAAGCCAGAAAGTCATATGAAGTACTGAAAGGGTACAGATGCTCTTCTTTTTCCCTAGTAAATCCCTACAAACAGGATCAGGTAAATTCCCTAAATTAGGTCTACAAACAGGATCAGGTAGGAAAATCTGCCCAGAAAGCAGTACAATGACCTCAGGGTCACATTTCTGAGTTACATAAGCTGGGAAACGTTGTTTTACATAGATGTATATAGCCCAAAACATGCCCAGAGATACACAGGTTAACAAATTATTAACCCAGTAGGTTTTTGCTGAATGACTTCACCAGCCTATAAATAGTTAAAAGGATGTGAGAACAAATGAAGTGATATGGACTAGTTTGTTATTGGCTTGTGTCTTCAATAAAATGTTCATGTAACAGCACGTTTTACCCAGTGTTTTAATGATCACAAGCTCTTTTCTTGATTCAAAGTTACAAATGTAGGAAGCAGCTTTTGGATATGAAAGTTATTTGTTTCACAGTAGGCTATCTGGAAAGCCTACATATATACACTGGCAGGGAATTCATTTAAAAATGGAAGAGCACTGAACCAAATAACATGGATAAATGATTAATGTCAGCTAACTGTACTTTATATAGGTGCCTCAGAACTAAGAAAGGGTTTTTGGTGAGCCATGATATCATTGCAGTGATAGTTTTCAACTGGCAAAGTTCCATTTTAATACACTGTAACAAATGTTTTTACAGTCACTTGAATAATTGTATATTATATACATAAAACAAATGTTGCTACTTTCACCTCTATGAAATTCAAAACAGATTACACACCAAATGTTAGAAAATAGCACAGATTTTAAAGTAAGGTTCTCTTCTGGAATAACAAGAATTAGATAATACTATCGGAATCCATAAAGTATTCTGGAATAACAAGAATTAGATAATACTATCGGAATCCATGTCAAGATCTGTTGGTATTTAGAATCAGCGACCAAAATATTTCATATCTGCACATGAGAGAGAATGGACACCATGTTACTACCAACTTCACTACCAAGATAGTGTTTTGAACCAAAACACATGCGCTTATCATTGTCTTGTCCTAGAGAAATGGGGAGGATGATTCTTCACTCTGTTTTCTAGTTCAATAAAATACAGAATGTGTAAAGGAAAATAACTCAACAAAAATGTAAGCAAGCAAAAACAAATCCACACTCTTATTACAATGTATTTATTGTTTATTGATATTGCCAACCAAGAACACTGATTAGCAGTTAAACCAAAATAGCTATATTTGATTACTAGTCACAAAGTTAAGAGATTAAATTAATTCATGAAATGACAGTCAAATAGGACTACAAAATGAAAGCAAGGCAGACATGGATTCTTCTGCAAGATCCCTGGTTTCCATACATTCTGGTGTGACATGAAAATTTCTGCTGCAGATTAACAAATTCTAACATTTCTACAGTATTAGATAGTAAGAGTAATACAGTCAGTACAGAGACCACAATTTATTGTACATACATTTGTTTTACAGAGGGACTGTATTTTCTATATGCTGCATACTTTTATGAAGGGGACTGATGATTGGGGAAAGACCATTTGAGTTCTTGGCATGCAAGGGTGAAAGGGAGCCACTCCTCTTCCTCCCATTAAGGAAAGGGATGGAACTGACATTCAACTCAAAAGAAAGAGGGATGGGATTGAGCAACATGGAATCAGTACATTAACTTGCTATTTTTGGTAAAAGAGTCAGTAGTAAAATAATGAATTGATGACACTGGACTTCAGAGTCACCATCGCATTGGGGATAACTTGGGCAATTACACCTCTCAGAATATTGTCGGGGGCATATTCACATCTGGAAGGCTCTCAGCTATCATAAAGGCCAGAAAGTTAATGGTTTTAAAACCAAAGTCTGGATTTCTGTGGCAGATGGTGAATAGCATCACTGTCTGGCTATGTGGACTCTCTGCTCAGACCCTATGCCACCAGCACTCCCAGTTACCTTCGTGACACTACGGATTTCCTGAGAAAACTACAATGCATAGGTGATCTTCCAGAAAACACCATCCTAGCCACCATGGATGTAGAGGACATGGGGCCGTACTTGTTGATCTACTTAAAAAAAGGCAGGCTGAAAGCCATATTCTACACTAGCAAAAACTTTCCTGTAGTATTCAAGGGAAGCAGTAAGTACAGTTTAGTACAATCTGGATAGGACAGAACCAATATCAGTGACAAGGCTACCACAGAAAGAAAAGATACATTTTATTTTCATTTAGCTGACCTGGAAAAGTACTTATACAGATTAACTCTTTGTTTTTCATTACATAAAAAAGTATTTTCATTTAAGATATCTTCCCTGTCTAAATTAGTGCTTGCTATTACTATAAAATATGTGATCAGCCTTATGTAAAACATGCTAAATGGGCCATATAAGACTGGATGTAATTAGAACAACCATAATTTAAGTGAAAAAAAAACTTTTATTACATGACTTATTATATAAGGAGCACCATCTTTCCCAAAGCACCACTGCTGTTAATGAGGTTTTCATGAGCCTTAGCAACTTTTTCCAATGGATATTCAGGGCCAACCACAGGTTTAAGCCAGTCCGCTTCGATACCAGCAAGAAGCACTGCTTCACATTCATGCATCAACTTCTGTATATTGAAGACAGTATATACTGTAAATCATGTGCACTTTAAAAAGTATATTAGATCATTTATACAAAGTTTTAATCAAAGTTTCACAATTCAAATTCATTTTATTACATTTCTCAGATGTATCTTAATTCTTCTGTGTGTCCATTTAGAATAAAAAATGTCATTTAATAAATAACTACAAGTTTACAAGTTATTAGAATAGCTCATCTAAGCAAATCCTTTGAAATAAAAATGCCTTACCTTAGTTGCACAAAACAGACTAACCCCTATTATGCTGGATTCTTTCATCATTGTGTCTCTGGGGTTTATTTCAATAGGACCTCTACTCCCCACAATCTGATATACAAAGGTTTAAAATAAAAAGAGATACTTAATCCAAACATCTTTCCACATTTATAAATTTAGTTTGAAGGCAATGATAGAAAAAATACTTACCATCACCCTTCCTCCAGAGGACAGTAATTTTAAGTCAGTGGCAAGATTAACATTAGCTAGCATTTCTATTATCACATCGACTCCCTGCACACCAGCGAATTCCTGTGCAGAATATAAAAAGAGCTAAATGAGAAAAGCTTACATTTGAGCGTCTGTGTATATTTCACAGGCTGTAGGTAACTTGAGATTTCCACATTACACCTGATGTATCTAAGGCAATTCTGAAAGTCTATCTTCATTATATTGTGACTTATTAGGATCTGAGTTTCTAAATGTTCCTTTCCTTCATGAGAAAGTAAAGCAAATAGGAGACCCAGCATCAGGAAAGTTATCTTGCTATTTCAAAGACTATCATCATCCATGTTCCAGTATGATTGCTAATGAGACTAAACAGGAGAATGAGAAGTGTCACATTCACAGAGTCACCATTACTTGGCTACAAATAGTGAACAGTGAAAAAGTTTGTTTATTAAAGTTTATGATTTAATACTCTTGATATCCATATATTTAAAATGAACAATTCTTCTTTGAGCAGAAATTAAAAGATTGTGTAGTATTTGAGCTCCTATAGAACCCTAATCTTGATTCAAAAGAAAAATATAAAGAGCTGCTTAAAGAATGTTTCATTTCATAAAAATTATGAAAAGACAATATCTAGTTCAACTGGCTGCCAGCACAGAATTGCCATATAAAGTACATTTTCTAGCCAATTAAAAGGAAGATAATTAATAGAAACCAACAGGGATTTTGCATATTATAATGGAAGAAGAGAAAAGCTTGAAGATCTATGAAATCTTCAATCTGGCAATAAATTACCTGTATCTTATCAGCATAATCAGCTTCTCTGTGATTAAACATTTTGTGGGCACCATTTCTCAAAACTATGTTCATTCCTTCTTTAGTTCCAGCTGTACCTAAAACTTTTAAACCATAAGCTCTGGCAATCTGGCATGCTGCTATTCCGACCTGGAAAAAGGAGTTACATTTCCCTTTACCATTTATTTTCCTACTTTTAATATAAATACCATGTATCAGTCTCAATATTTTCTGTGTCAAATTAACTTAATATATGTTTTTATCCATAACATCATTTGAAGAGTATACATATACAACACAAACCAAGGACACAGTGAAAACACTCAAGCAGGGAAGCCTAAGAAGCAGCAGCTTTTGGAGGGGGCCTCCATTCTTAGGCTTTGTCTATGCTTACTGGGAGATGAGCACTGCGACCCTTGAGGGTTGATTTATATCAATCACTGATTGTGCTCCCATCGACTCGGATACTCTACTGGGTCAAGAAGAGTAAGGGGAGTTGATGAAAGAGTTTCTCCCATCAACCTCCTGCAATGGGGATGCTGTGGTATTCAACTAAACTAAAAAAAAAGTACATCAACTCCGGCTATATTACCCAGTAGCTAGAGTTGCGTACCTTAGTTCGACATTGCCCCCTAGTATAGACCTGGTCTTAGGCAGCAAGTAAAGCCTCTTGAACCCTAGTGAGATGCTGATCCTGCCAACCAAACATCTGCATTCCCTACTACCATATACTTTTTATACCACCAATACATTTTATATGTAAGGTGGTATGAGAAGTGTTATATTAATGCCAAGCAGAAGTAAAGTCTTGTTAGTGCCTGAGGACACAAGTCATTCAAGTCACTAAGGCACATCTCACGTTCAGCTGGATCACACTAACTACAAAAATGGTGTGGGAAACGTGAAAGAGGAACAAGCATGCACAAAACTCTGACTCACTTTTGGGGTTACTCCCAACCTGGTACAACCTATTGGGACTAGTCCTGCAGACACTTCTTTGGCTAATTAAGTGCCGTTATTCTCTTCTTTTAGTTACAAAATTACCTTATTCCATTCCTTTAATCAACAGAACTCCATCTGCTGCCATTTATGGCTCTGCCAATGAGACTTGCACCTTATATAAACAAACTGCCTTCCTCACTGAAAAATCCTCATGATAATCACTCCTCCCAGATGTTTATCAACTGACCAATTGAAAAACCAAAGTCACCTCTGACATTTACGTTTCAAATCAACATATAGCATAACTAGCTTATTTCAACATCCAAAAGTTGTTCGCTGAACAACCTGAAAAGGAAGCAAGATTTAAGAATCAAAGTGGAAGTGTATGTCATGAAAGACGTACCACAAACATCCATCATCACTACAGCATGTGTCCCTTTGCCTACTACTCTCTCTTCTCACTATACTTGCAAATGTTTTCGTAACGTCTGCAAATACATAGAGGATAATTGTATGTGTAGACTGTGCCACTATAAAGCAAAAACCTGAGAGTTCCCAGAAGCGTATGAAAGAAGTGGGAATAAAATATCAAACTTCAATTTATGAAATAAAGAACATATTGATGAATGTCCTTGTACATGACAAAGGATCTGAGTTTTCTCTTATGAGACACTTTTATAATCAGCCTTTTGCAGCCAACTGAGTAACTCGGCAAAATTTGGCCAGCTCATCATAGTTTTTTCCAGCCTCTGGAAAGGGAGAGGGCAGGGGCCACTTAAAGTTTAACTGTTCTCTTACACCATTCAGCCTCCTTGTTTATTCAGCAGAGCAAAAGGTAAATGCACAAGCTAGTGGGAAAACAAAGTCCATTCAGGTATGAGATTATCTCTTCCAAAATCTCCCACTTGCTAGTGAGGGTGAGAAATAGCACAGAAAATCCCAATCCAGCCAGTGAGCATTTCCCGCACAACTAGGGACAGTTTACTTTAACTTTTAAAAATACAACTTTTCCTTAACCTTTTCTTGGTGCAGACTTGTCATACAGCTCTTGAACCAGCTTCCGACCTTTCTCTACTTTGTGATTACACCAGGGGGCTCCATACATATTATCTAATAAAGTTCATATGACATCAGCATTTGGGGCTGTATCTGGTCACTTGGGCAGTTTCAGGCTGTTACATTCTGGATGACAGGGTTTAACTGTATGTGAAAAGAGCCTTCAAGACAGAGAATCACTTTGCCTTAGAATCAATCACAAAAATACACAAAATACTTCCTAGCTTAAGTCTTTTCAAAATACTTACTCCTCCACTTGCCCCATGGACTAGCACAGTTTCCCCTGGTTTGGCACAACCTCTAGAAAACAAAACAACAGATATTGAACTACTGAACACATTATACCTTTAGCAAATTCTACTGCATTGTCCAGCATAGTATGTAGTTGGATTATATTAATCAATCTTTTAGATCGCATTCAATATTCTAATTTTCTTCCCTCAAGTTTTGCATTGAGTTCATCCGGATTTACTCTGGGAGTAGAGAGGAGAATCTAGTCTACATCTTTAATAATTCCTGTCCATTAAAAGCTCTGTTAAACATGGGTGTAAGCTACAATAGGAGAACCGGTTTCATGGTGGGTATAGGCATATGAACAACATTGTCTTCAATTTTAGTCTTCAATGCTATAAAATAATCTACCCATACTGTTTCAAAGGATAAATGAGATGCCCCGATGTTTTGTTCTGCTCATTAATTTAGGCTGGATTACCAGTCCTGATTTCTCCTCCCCAGCTGACAAGGCACTTTTGTCTATCACTATAGTACAGAGTCACTAATCAATACCATAGCGATTGGCAGGAATAAAAAATTAGAAGAGCTACAGTTTGAGATCTGCCAACACCCTCCGATGATAGAAATGATAGAAAGACGTAGATCTTGCAACTACAACCACTCAGTTCAATCAATATGGTGAGAATAGTAGTGAGATAAAGAGGGGTAGGAGGAGGAAAACAATTATTCATTTATTTCAGTCTATATACTTTTTTATTATAGTGACCATCCCACTTCTGGGTGCCTTAAATAAACTTTTAAAAATACATTCTTCAAAACGAAAAGACTGTCAATTACCTCCAGATCACACCTCCCTAATAATAATAATATAGGCAACGAATTAAATTTAATCCTCCAACAGAATCCCCACCAAAATCTAATATAGGCAACAAATTAAATTTAATCCTCCAACAGAATCCCCACCAAAATTCTCCTCCCATCAGTACCCTGACAAAGAAGTCTCCCATCTCTTTATGAAAAAGGTAAGATAACTTGCAGTGTCCCCTGAAAAGTTAAGCCATGGAGCTGACTATTATGGATGGGTGTCTACTGTATAGTTTGTATTTTAAATCTTCAAAAGCAGATGATAGAGTGCTTAGCATCTTACTTTTGGAAGAGTGCACGATAAGCAGTGAAATACGGGATTCCAATGGCAGCACCTTGCTTGAAGTCTAATTTATCTGACAAAGGGAAGACTGTATCAGCTGCAGCAACTGTATACTCTGCATAACCACCAGAGATGGTACCATTAGTAAAAACCCTGTCACCTTTCTGGCAGGAAAAAATAAAAAGGCTTTAGACACAAGTTTCAAGTACTTCAATCAAAGCTTATTATGTAATATTTCTGAAAACTATACATTCTTAACAGGAATAGTAATTGGTAAGGATTATTGTTCGAGTCCTTCAACTGGATAAAATTCACAACCTTCACATAATCACCAAGTGGACTGTGTGAGAAACAGGGAACAATATACATTCCAACACATGGTGTGTGTTTAATACTTATTTCCAGCCTGGCAGCTATGGAGCACCAACTGCTTTAGTTCAGGTTGTGACCTTAATATAGCACATTCCAGTTGTTAGAACACTGTAATTTTATGTTCTGATGAACTGTGAGTGTCTAACTATGAGAATCACTGTATGATCTCAATACCTGCATAGTATGTAAATCCCTGAGCTCTGATTTGTTGGCACCTATTATTAGTCAGAGTGCCAAGATCTTCATAATTGCTCTGTGGCTATTTCTTACATAACATCAATATGCAAATCTCTCTTGATTGCCTCCTCTATTCAGCCCTTTCATGCTGTTTGTCTGCCACCACTACTACTCTGATTTTCTTTACCTTCAGTTTAAGCAGAAAATGCCAAAATTTACATGAAAAACTAAAAGCAAAGAAAATAGAGCTGTCAAACAACAGCTGAAGCAAGTTGTTTTTTTAAGTTAACACCTCAGCCTTATTTTCCATCTCCAGGCCAACAAGGCTCTTGTCTCCCCAATAACTGCCATTCTGAGTTCAGAATAGGAGAGTCCCAGCTCTCTACCACAATGCAGTTTTCTCACAATACATATTGTGTAGATAGTCTTTGACCAAGAATCTTACAATCCTATAAAGAAATAAAAGAGAAGGGAAAAGCCACTGAAACCTTTTCAAACATTTATCTTTAATAGATCAACTTTTCCCCTCCCCAAGAAGAAATAATTTAAACAAAGAGCAGCAGGTAAAATATAACCATTATGAGACAGCAGCTGAGTATTTAAACATTGTTATGATCATCATAACATACATCATAAAGATACACCTTGCATTTTTCCTTTAATTTTAAGTGCGATTAAAAATAACAAAATAACCTCAGGGCCCTCAGGATGAGGGTGATAATAATGATAATAATAATGGAAATAATCACAATAACAATGGGTCAATACAGCACTCTTGATATCTATAATATGCTAGGGATGTTAGATATTGTGTAATTGAAAAGCCATCATGGCATAGCGAGGGAGTTATGCACCCAGGGACAAAGGCAAAATTTGCACTGCCCAGCCCCCAGCTGGACTCCCCACATCAGGCTCTCTTCGGCGCACAGGGCTGTTTGACTTCCAGCCAGACTGATGTGCCCTTTGGCCAATCAGTGGCTGCGGTTTCTCAGAGGGGTGAGTTATAGGTGAGGACCCGGATGCTGTGGGCCAATGGGCAGTACCTTGGACTGACTGGCAGTGAAAAGGATTGTAGTTGCAGACAGGGCCTGTGCACCAGCTGCATTCTGCACATGCTCAGCCTGAACCCCGTCCTGTGCTCAGCTCCCGCTAGGCTGTTCGCGCTCACTTTCGATTTCCTGCAGGTGCGAAAGTGGCCAGCGCTCACAGGGTCCTAGCTCCATCCTCACCTCTGCTGCTAAATTGGTGCCTCTCTAGCATGGCTCCCAGGGGCAACTGCCCTCCCCACCCCTGGCCACACCACTGACAGTTGTGTAAACACATTAAATCTTAGCAGTCACATGATTATTCAACAGTCCCCAGGGGTGGAGCCAGCAGCCAGCGCACTCTTGGCCCCATTCCCAGGGAGCCCCCTGCCGCTGCTCTATCAATTTATCTCACTATATTTAAGGATGTCATCATGTAGACAATTACACGATTAACTGATAAGACTAGTCTTATCAGTTAATCTAGTCGACTATTCTATTACTCACTATCTCACATCCCTAGTGAGAGCCTTAGTTATTTATCAAAATATTATAAGGATGATATTTGAGAGGAAAGAAAAAAATCAGAAGGATGTTGACACACATCACCCCCTCCTGCCTCTGTATCAGAGGCAGCAACCTAGGCTGAGAGGGAGTCGGTGCTTGTGAGAAGCTGACTTAAAAGCTGGCTCCCCGCCTGCCTCCTCACCTGCTGCTGATAGAGAGGCAGCAGTGGGGGATGGCAGCAACCTCTGTTGGGGGAGGAGGTCTGAGCTTGGGTCCCCTGCAGACAGAGGCTGCTTTGTAGCAGCCTCTCCTGCCCCCGTGCTG